AGTGTTTCTTCTGCATCAAGTTCTTCTCTCCCCTGTTAAGCATATAGTCTCATAGCCTCTACATATTTCAGTCCTTGGAAACGAACTTGGATCTTCACTGGCACACAAGCAACGCCTTCTCTTTCATAAAGGGCCTCACATTTAAAAGTTGATGTCCCCAAATGAGTTATACATTGATTTCTTCTACATGTACTTGAAAGTGTTAATTTGTTAATGTAAACACCATTTTCATAACAGTGTTTGAGATTTGTTTGCTTTTTAAAAAAACCAGGAGCTTCAAAACAGTGAAGTATTTCAAGCTCACTTCGCCTCTGAGAGACCCTGTCCCCATGTGGTAGTCACCATGTGCTACCACAGTCACTACCTTCAATGCCCTGAACACCCCTTGGACTTTCATATCTTGATGGCTTTTCCCTATTCATCCTTCAAGATCAAGCTCCAAAGTCATAAACTCTGAAGGTGTCCCTAGATGCTACACAAAATATCACTTTGTTCATAGTTGTTATATCACCCAACCTATGGTGGTATAAATTAGTTCTCAATACATATTTGTTAAATAAATGAGAGTCCTTCTAAGGCTTTAGGGGGCTTGGAGACTAATGTTCTAAGGAAACAGAAGAGAGATTAGAATACTTTTTTTTATTATTAGTTTCAGGTGTACAAAACAATGCAATAGGTATCCTTTTCACCCCTCACAAAGTGACAACCCCCCTCCTCCCATCCACTGCCCCCTCACCCCCAATATCATACCTATATTACAATTCCATTGACTCCATTCCCACACTATACTCCACATCCCATGACTATATATGTATTAAATTATAGTTGACATATAATATTATAAAATACTATTTTTAAAAAATGACAAAAGCTACAGTGTCAAGAAACCTTTTAGAGGCATGCCTCATTTTATTGCACTTCACTTTATTGCACTGCAGAGATGTTGCATTTTTCACAAATTGAAGGCAAGACCTTCCACCAGCAAAAAAAATAGGCCATTTTATTCCAGTGGTCTGGAATTGAGCCCGCAATATCTCCAAGATATGCCTACGTATTAATAAGTATTCTTAGTGTTTACTAGAAAATAAATGGCTCAAATCCTGATCATTCGTTTCCTTTTTCCCTAATCAGTGGTTCTCAAGTGTGTCCTCCAAGTGAGCAACATCAGCATCACCTGGAAATTATTAGAAATGCAAAATCTCAGGCCCTGCTCAGAACTACTGAAGAAGAAGCTAAGAGGGAGGCCCATCAAGCTGTGTTTGCAAGTTCCCCAGGTGATTCTGACAATCAAGTTTGAGAAACACTGATCTAAATCCTTTTTCTTACTTGTGGGGCTTACACAATTATCGCTGCCAAGTTCAATAAACCTCTTCATTACAGATTCCATTTAGTTCCTCCCTCCCTTTTTAGGCTACAGGAGCAATCAATTGAAGAAGAAATTAAAGACAGGAATACTAGTATTGAGTGTATTATATTTTCTAGG